AAAAAAAAAAAAAAAAAAAAAAGAGCAGGCTGAAAAGACAAAACGCATCTTCATCCAAACCTACAGAATCCCTTCACACAAAGTCACAAAAAGGGGCTTTTATGACAAGAACAGAGAAAATGAGATAATAGCAGATGCAGCATGCCCTTATAATCTCACTCTACAATTATTACTGTATATACAAGGCATAGGGGTCTTAAGTATTTGCTAAACTGCAGCTTAGATATCTCAGAGAAGTACTTCAGAACATTCCTTCCTGGGGTGAAGGAACCCAAAGATAAGCTTCAGAAAACCCTTCTTCCCCAGCACAGAGAGCCAAAGATGCAGGAAGCCTTGCTGTAAGTAGGCGCTATACAAAACTAGGGCTGTATAATATCCTGCAAACCTGGCACAGTGTGAAAAAAATCAGCCTGTAACTGCATTGGGTGGTTATCCCTGCAGCAAGTTACATCAGTTGTATTATTATCAATGTCTGTAGTTCTGTGTTGACAGACTGAATGCCATTCATACCTGACCCAGGAGAAGCTGATCAAGTACTGCCAAGCCAAAGGGATCGCTGCATTGGCATACAGCCCCCTTCACTCTCCTGACAGGCCATGGTAAGACTGATTTGCAAGGGTTGATACTACAAATGCACCATTGATTGTTGATCTAGGTACAGGTTTGTGCTGATAGCTTTTCTCTGCGTAGGGCTAAACCAGGGGATACCAGCATAAAGGACAGCTAATGACAAAGGATGCAAAGGAAGAGCCTCGCTCTTCATTCCCTGTGAACTACGGTGCTCTCCTGTGGTGTTAATCAGTACTGCAGGTACTGGCCATCTATTTCACGAGATGCTTAGTTGGATTGAGTGGAATATGAAAGCCTTGTAAATCTTCCTTTGGATCAGGGCAGGAAGATGCAACTTTGAGAAATGGAAGCATTCTGCAACACAAAGGGCCCACAAAGCTTCTTGGAACAGCTGGCACATAAAACTGCAGCTTCTGATTTTTATTCTCTCTGCCACTGAAGTCTTGGAAATCCAGAGATGCCTCTTTCCTTTCCCTCCTTCATGAAGCAGTCATTTCTTCTCACTAACATACTCCAGCGTGGACTTGTTCTTTAATTCTGTGAATCTTGCTTACAATCTCTCATGTTCAGGGGTGATTTCCAGCTGTTTCTTATTGCGTGTTTGACTTTGAACTGACTAAAGAAGAAATGGCAACCATTCGCAGCTTTAACAGGAACCGGAGAGCCCACGTGATGAGCACATAAGTGGTAGTGGTCATTATTATTTTTCAAAACCCTTAATTTATGAATACTATATACACATTTTATGTCTGAACACTGCCTAGAATGCTGAGAGTCTGAATGACAACGGGACGAAGGTGTTCCCAGCATACAAAGGGCTCATACTTTCCAGGAAAACAAATCTGGAATAACTTAATTCTACAATTTATTTTGATGGCTGAAGGGAATTCCTTTCTATTCAAGAGCAAAACTGATGAGGAGTGCCATTTCAATGCAAAATACTGAAGATGTATTTTGCTCCTCTGGAGCTTGGTCTGATATTCTTCCTACTAATTTATCCAGCTTTCTTATTGCATCTGTCCTCCTGCTGCATGTCAAGTCACAGGATATGTATTCAGTGACGTTAGTGTTTTTTTTTTTTTTTTTTTACTTTCCTTGAAAAAAAGGACAGCGTACATTTGTTCTAAAGAACAAAATGTGAGCTGTTATAATTTCCTGCCCAAATGTGGAATTAGAAAACACAGAGAGACCTTGAAACACAAATTTACATTTGTACTCAGTCTTGCATCAGTGCAACAGTCAGAAGAAGACAGCAGCTGGGAACATTGGATAAAAACCTCCTATGAGGAATGTGAAGTAAAGACCAGGTTCCTGTGGATGAGGGAGACAACCAGGAATTTCACCACTTTAAAACTAACCCCAAGAGTTTGTTTGTTTGTTTGTTTTCCCCTAGTGTATCCACCCACCACCCCTTTTATCCCTCTTAAATTTTCCTTATGCAGAAAACATACAGGTGCATACTGGGCACTACTTTACACAGGCTTTCTGCTATGTGTCAAAATACAACAGAGTGGTGATTTTCTTTTGGATACAACTACTTCAACATGTGCTTCACATTACTGCTCTCTGTGAAATTCTATCCTTATGTAAAAAACTATTAATAAAGCCATTTGCATACAAATTCATTCAAATGCCCATATTTAAAAAACAAAAACAAATGAACAAAACACACAAAATTAATCTTTAAATGCAACAATGAAATAAGAATCCTGCCTGATCAAAAATATTTTCTGCTTTAAAAATCTGAGTATATATGGTTTTGCCTAGACTAGAGTTAGGAGTGAGACAGGATGTTGGACCATGTGTACAATTTGGCTGCAGGAACTGAATTCTTTTCAATGGTCAATCATTTTCATGAGTTCAAGATTCTGCTTTTTGTAGACAGAATTGATATTTTTTTTCCAACTAAAACTTCTTTCAAAAAAAAAAAAAGTTATATACAACCCCCTAGGCCAAGAACAAAATGTGACTTTTGCTCATAAGTCACAGGCAGCTGCTAAAGGCTCTATGAGATTCATCTTGCCTAACTTTAGGTGCCTACACAGCACAGGTGCAGACACTCAACCTGCACCTCGGGGTCATCCTCCAAGCTGCAGTCACAGCCGAGGGATGTCTGAGTGAAACAAGGCAGCAGTGTTCAGTGTGATGTGTTACACCCACGGTACCGCAGTCCCTGCATAACAGCTGGGAGCATGGAAAATTACTACCCCTCTCTAACACTTTTTCCCAGGTCAGCCACACTACTGGGCTCCCAGCATTATCCTTGGCCATGCTGCAGATTTCACACCTGTCTTCTGGCATGCTCCCCTCAGTACAATACATAAGGACAACACACAACGTCCCAGCAGCTTATCAGGCAATGCCAGAGGGGCGTTAGTAACTGCCCAGCCTTTGGGGCTTTTGGGCCATGGCATCAGGGATCACCCACCCCATTCAGGGTCCCCTCCCCCTTCCCTGTAAGCACAATCCAGCAGCGCAAGGAACTGCAGTTAATTACTTCTTTCTTCCGTGGGGACATATCCAGCACCTGTGGGATGAGTGGGATCAGGCCATTGCCCCACACAGCTCTTGACTAGCAGATCCCAAAGCCCTCCTCTCTTGCGCAGGGCCCTGCTTGCAAGCAGCACACAGCCCAGACTCTGCAGGGCTCTGCTCTCGCCTTACAAAAGCCACATCCCAAAAAATCTGCAGCAGTGGCATTTCCTCAACGTTTGGCTGGTCCCCAGCATTTTTTTTTTCAAGCACATGCAGCACTTGGGATCAACAGACAAGCCCAAAGACAAAAAGCCTTGTTAACTCCAAGGAGGTGAGAAGCAACCACAGCATGCTCCTGGTATGATATGAATGCAGCGCGAGGAAGAGGCCAAGGTCTTCTCTTTGTGTCAGAGAGAAATTCCTACTGCCATTGGCAACTTCCCCCAGGCACCCACTTTTGTTGTGATTCCAGCTGGAAACTGACATGCTGTCACCTCAAAGCACTGATTTTGGCTGAGTTTGCACCTGTCAGTGCCTACAGCTGCAGACCCTTGCAGCTGTCCTCCTTACAAGCAGAGGTGATTGTACTTTGTGCCTCTGCCACCCCCTGAGTTTTCCTTTGCACGTTTTCAGCGGGCCACACAGCCTCTGCTGGTGAAGCCCACCACCTCCACGAGGACGTACCCACTTCCATTATTTTGGACCTGGTTCTTCCCAGATCCCAAACACTGCTGGTCTCTTAAGTCTCCGCTTGTGGTGAAATTAGAGTGCAAAGTCAGCAAAACAAACCAAGAAACTCATGATACTAAACATCCTGTTCCAGTGCGAAACCTCATGCACAGATCAGGAAAAAAGAAAAGAGAAGCCCTTCCTGCAGCGTGCAGCTCGGCCTCTGCAGCATTCACAGCCGAGGAACAGGCAGGCACGGCACCAAGGACGGGCCCTGCAAGCTTGTCCAGGCTGGCTGCCACCCGGTGACACGGGCAGTGCTTCTCCCTTCCCCAGGGCCCCGCTGCCTTGTGACAGCCCCAGCAGGGCCTCTGGGAGAGTCAGACAGCTGGAAAATGGTTTGCCTTAGAGGCAAGGGAAAAGCCTCCCACTCTCGAGAACAGAGAGCAGGGCCCAGTGCAGAACTTCTGCTCCAGGCCTTTTGTAACAAGATGGAGACATCTCCTCCAGCTGAAACCAGCAGGGAAAAGCGAACTGAAAATGTAGCGCACGAGCACGGGGTTATGTAAGTGCTTTGCGATCCAAGTGAAAACACATCACATCCTGCCGGGGACGGCCGATGGCGCTGACACAGAACAGGAGGACCATTAGCGAGGAAAACCCATTACCTTGCCCGCCCTCAGTTAAATGGAGCAAAAACCTCAGCGCTGCAGAGCGCGCGGGCCTCCGCCGTGGGAGAGGCACCTGAGGAAGCTCCCCACGTGCTCCTGTGGCCAAGGCTGGCTTTTTCCACTGCGCTGCAGCCTCCTCGCCCGAGCAGCACGCGCTTGTCCACAGGGTTTCGACACCGATGTTGGACGTGCCAGCACGTACTCGTGCAATACAAATTCGTCTTGTCCTGCGAGGCCCTCAGCACCTCCCTGAGGACGGCGGCGCAATTCGGCTATGATGTCACGCACTAAAAACTTGCTGTTCCTCTCCTGCGGCTTTCAAAACAAGTTAAAAATAAAAATAAAAAAAAAAAAATCCCAACATCCAAACAGAGCTCTTTTTTTCTTAAATATGGCTTTTCCCAAATGACCCCCGGGCACCACCGGGAAGGGAAGGGAAGGGAAGGGAAGGGAAGGGAAGGGAAGGAAGGGAAGGGAAGGGAAGGGAAGGGAAGGGAAGGGAAGGAAGGGAAGGGAAGGGAAGGGAAGGGAAGGGAAGGGAAGGGAAGGGAAGGGAAGGGAAGGGGGCCCCGAGCAGCGGTCCCGGGGGCTCAGCCCCGGCGCCGCCCCCTGCCCGCCTCCCTCCCTCCCTCCCTCCCTCCCTGCGCTCCGGGGCGGGCCGGGCGCTATTAAAGCGGCGTGAGAGAGGCTCCGGCGGTGTGTGTGGGGCCATGGCGACCTATGTGCAGCTGAACACGGGGGCCAAGATGCCCATCGTGGGGCTGGGCACATGGAAGGTGAGCGGGGGGGCCCGGCCCGGGCGGCGGCGCGGGGAAGGGGGAGGCCGCGGGGCCGCTGCCCGGCCTGCGGGCGGCCTGCGCGGAGATCGGCTTTTTTGGGGGTCGTTTCTCGTTCGTGTTTTTTATTTTTTTTTTAAGTGTGTTTTCGGTGGGGTGGCTTTCTGAATTTTGGTCTTAACGGGCACGAGGCCCGTGTGTGTTTGGGTGGGCGCTCCTCAGGTGCTGTCCTTCCCCTTCAGTCCCCGCCAGGGAAGGTGGCAGCTGCGGTGATGGCCGCTATCGACGCTGGGTACCGCCACCTGGACTGCGCCTTCGTGTACCAGAACGAGAGCGAGGTTGGGGACGGCATCCAGAAGAAGATCAAGGAAGGGGCTGTGAAGCGAGAGGAGCTCTTCGTGGTCAGCAAGGTAGGGGCCTGGGGGTGTACGAGCCCTGGGGAGAATGGTGTTCTTGTGGTAACCCCAGGTCCAAGCTTCTTCTGTTGTCCCCACCTGCACAGAGAACTAGGTGGGATACGTGCTGAGTACAGAGTGATGCTTTGAGCTTTTCCCAGCACTATGCTTTGCTGTTGTCTCTTGTGCACCACCTGACCCTGTTGTGGGTAGCTTTTAAATAATGTCTTAATTGGTCGAGGCTGCTTCTGCTGCCTGCAGTGCCCCCCTTCAGCTCTGTGTGCTGCCACTGCATCCACTGGCCTTGCTATCGGGGGCTATTCCTGCCCACAGAGCAAGTCTTCTTTGAAGAGAAATAACCTAATTTCACACTCTTCTAAAATCTTCTAAAAGAGAGATCTCTCCTAATTGGGACAGAAGCGTTCCAGGAACTTTAGCCCAGCAGCTCACAGTGTGCCTTGGCTTTCTGTCTCCAGCTGTGGTGCACGTTTCATGAAAAACATCTGGTGAAGGGAGCCTGCCAGAAGACTCTTGCTGACCTGAAACTGGATTACCTGGATCTCTACCTCATCCACTGGCCCCTTGGGTTTAAGGTACAGTAACAGTAATGTACTTGGCTTTCTGTTATAGCTGGCAGTTTTGAAGAGTCACACAGTCTTACAGCCCAACAATGTCTCCGTCTGAGAAAGATAATCATGTGCCTGCACATGAGTCAGGCTGTTGATTCCTGCTTCTGAGATTCTTGCTTGCACAGCACCCTCTCTTTTGATTGTAGAAGAGGTAGACCTAGTAGAGTAGTAGGGGCAGGTTTCCCTGCCGCAAGTATAAATTATGCAGCTCTCCTTATTACTATCTCTGTGTTGTCTCTTACAAATCCAGAGTATGGTCAACAATGACTTGGTTCCTGCTTTGTGTGAAGGAGGGTGGTACTCTGCTGTCTGACAGATTTTTTTTCCCCTCTGTGTTTCAGACTCAGAGAAAGAGAATATTTTTCTACTTCTGTCTGTAATCACTGCATCCTTAATATTATAAACTGAGTTGACCTTTGCTGTAGGAGCCTTAGTGTTCCACAGACTTTACATTCTAAAAGGTTGAAGCTTTTTAGTTCCTAACTTTAATGTGCTACGTACAAAGGAGTTGATGTCTGCTTGAAAATGTGTAAGCTTAGTCTCTTACAGCCTGAACAAAATCGGTGCCCTACCTGTTGCTTCTGAGATAACTGTTCTTTGTGCTTTTCATAGTATCTGTATCTTTAAAATTAGATTAATGTGAACAGAATTGTCAAAGTGAAAATGCGTTGCAGTATAGTAAGGTATCCCTAGAAAACACCTGCTTTTGGAAGTTCATAAATCATAGCCAGCCCTAACTGGGACACAGACTGTTGCAACTTTCCCTCTGCCAGCAACTGAAACAATGAGGCTCCCTGTGAAAGACCTCTCAGCAGATATGGTCCTCACAGACTGATGCTCCTACATCCTAAGTGGGTCCTTACTACAAAAATGCACAGCTCTTATGTGAGCATAACAGTGTATTTTATTAAAATGCATAACACAGGAAGCAAACTTGTAAGCTGGAAATAATTCTACAAGAGAATTGTCCTATTTCACATATGTATTGTGGTGACCCAACAGACTTTGCTGTGTCCAGTGAAGTAGTTGTATGTATGAGATGACTGCTGACAAAAATGCCACAAACCTATGTGAAGGCAAAAGAAAAGACTGAAGAATGTAGATAACAAATATTAGTATTTCTTGCACTGTGTTTGTGATATCATGGTCTTCAGCTGGTGTTAACCTTTACAACAGAGAATGTTTCAAGTGTTTTCTCACTGACAGGCAGGAGAGGACCTGTTTCCAACAGATGACAAAGGCATGTCAATACCCAGCAACACTGATATTCTACATACATGGGAGGTAAGTCTGCCCACAGCAAGAGTCACGTCTTCTGTCCTCAGCAGTTTCTTCCGTGCCTTCACTACCTTCAGCAGTCTAAACTGTCTCATGTACACAGAACTACTTGAAAGGACTCACTGGTACAATGGTGGATATTTAAATGTTGATTTTTGTTTCCAAGTCATCATGAATTCCTGCAATCTCAAAGAATGAATCTTTGGGCTTTGAGATTGGAGATGTGGGATAAATATACCAGTGCTTTGTTTGTCTCAAGACAAACGCTGCAGATCTAAACACTTACTCTCTTTGTGAAAAGGACAAAATAAGCCATGTTAGAAAAAATGTGTACAGACCCTTTCATACATATCAGATGCTGATTTGGCTCTTTCCATTAGGCCATGGAAGAGCTGGTGGATGCTGGTCTGGTAAAAGCCATTGGAATCTCCAACTTCAACCATGAACAGATAGAAAGAATCTTGAACAAGCCAGGATTGAAATACAAGCCAGCCAACAACCAGGTAAGCAGCTCAGTGACCATATATGAATGCTTTTTTCTTCTGTGTTTCAATTATTATGAAAATCTTCTTATGGGATAAGGTTGGAGTTTCTGCACTACTGCTTGAAAGTCTGACAAGGAGCAGCTCCAGAATATCTTATTTTGGAGGAGGGAAAAAATCCCCTGAGCTCAAATCTGCATTTCAGTTGAGTAAAACCCAGGATATGTACAAGAGCTTGGTAGAGAATTGGATGATTTTTCAACTCTGTTGTGGAGAAGACAGTTCCTGTTGTTGATGACTTGAGACTAAAGGAACTGAACAGGGAAGACTTTATGGACTGCTTACAGATTTGAGGAGGGTTGGGAGGAAATGGACTTAGAAGGTAGGCTGTAAAGTAAAATTGTCCAGGTGTATTGGCAACACTTAAAATTTTAGGAAAATGCAGACTGCAGAAGACTTAAGGATATAGTGTAATGTACAGTTTGGAGCAACATCAGCTGTGACACTTGATCAGGTTACCCTGGGCTTTATCCAGTCAGTTCTTGAAAACCTGCAAGGCTGGAGACTGCACAGCCTCTTGAGGCAGTGTGCTCCACTGCCTGACACCCCCTCCTTGGTAGGATGAGGGAGTGGAGGGAGTTTTCCTGTATCTGGTCTCAATCTGTCTTGTTTCAATTTGTGCATGCTGTCTGTTTTCCTCTCACCATGCACCAGTGAAGAGTTTGGCTTGACTTCTGATGACCTTCTTGTAGGTATTGGAAAACTTATGGGGAGCCCAGAAGCCTTCCTTCTCCAGGCTGAACAAGCCTAATTCCCTCAACCTGCCCTCAGCCATCCTGCTGTCCCTCTACTGAATCTATGACAGTTTCTCAATCTTCACCTGAGAGGACTGGGAAGGGGGCAACGTGGGCACTGTATTCTGAAGGTGGTCTGACAGATGCTGAGTAGAAGGGGGTGATCACTTCCCATGACCTACTGGCTGTGTTCCTGTTGCCAGGGATCACTACTGGCTCGCTTGTAGCTCAGCCTGCCATGGCTTCTAGGTCCTTCCTAGCAGAGCTGCTCCCCAGGCAGTCAGGCTGCAGCCTGTGTCATTGCTGGGGGCTCTTTCTTCCAAGGTGCAGGGCTTTGCATGCAGCTTTCTTGAGTCTTGTAAGGTTTATGTAGGACTTCTCCCACTACCTGAGTAGTTCCTTCTGAAGTGGCAGCCCACCATTGAGTGTTTTCTCTGGTCCACTTCTCTCCACTGGTCAGTTTGGCATCACCTGCAAACATGACAAGGTCATAGCCTGACAAGTTGTTGAGGAAGACAGGTCCTGTGATAGATTTCCTGTGTTTATCCAGTCTTGTCCTAAACTGCTCTGGTTATTGTGGGACTGCAGTAAGTTCTCAATACTGAATTACAAGAACTGGTTAACTTACTGTGATAGATTGAGCATATGTACTAAAAAGGGATCTTAACACCTGTCTTCAGAAAGCTAATGGGAGTGTTCCCTGCAAGTCTGTCCAGTGTCAAACAAGCCTTCTGACAGCTGCAAAATTCATAATTCTGGACTAACTTCGTATTCAGTCCAATCTACTTTAGGAAACTTAGAAGTCTTATCAGACCTACCACACCTTGTTGCCAAAGAACTTTTCACTGTAGTTGGCAACTACTCCTCTGTCACTTGTATAGGGGATGTTGACCTTATGTCTCTTCCACTCTGCTAAGTTTTCTCACCAATGGGTGTTGGTGGCTGTCCTTCAATACTTACTGCATCTGAAGAAACAGTTGCAAGTCTGAAACTCTTGTCTTGTGAACTCTTACCAGTTAGCCTAATATAAGATTATAGTGCTTCCTGCAAACCATTTCTCTCTGTTTAGTTGGTATTACTGGACTCTAAATGAAATGTCTACAATGTCATTCTTGTTCTTAACTATGGATGCAGTCAGTATGCAAATTGGTTTAATTCATGGTGAGATACCAGTTTGGCAAGGCAGTAATTACATTATGATAATATTGCTAATTAGTTCATGAAGGAGATCTGAGTGAAGTATTTGATCATTGTCAGTGTGTATTGCAATATCTTAAAATACTTATTTAAATGTATCAGAGGCTTTTCACCATGGCCCAAACATATCACTAGATAATGCAACTCAGTTTTTCAACTTGAGTTCAGGTGGGCAGGTAGGGATGACTTTGCCTCACTTGCACAGTCTGAATCTTACCTATTGAATAGTGGAGAAAATACCCAACTTGGCTAAATGCTCTGTTATTCTGAGTAGTATTGAAGCAAAATAAATGTATAATTTGCCTAAAAACTGAGTTGTGCCCTGCCCTGTTGCATCTAATATTTCAACATGCTTCAGAAGAGAAGCAGCAATGCAAGCTTCTGATAACAGCAAGCAGCCAGACCCATAAATAAAGCAGTCAAGGGTGTAATCTAATCCCATGATTTACGCTGTTGCTCCACCTGCCAATGGCATGTTTCTTTGAAGGCTTGAATGACAGTGTAGTCAAAAAAGGTTTTTGAGTTTGCCTGCTAAAAGAAAAGTACTGCTCCCTGGTGTGAAGTTATCCTCAAAGTCCATCTATGTAAAGCAGCAAAAATTCATGTTAATTCAGTGCTGCCAGATATCTGGATAACGTCTGTTCTGTACTACATATCAGTGCATTAACTTGCCAGAACACAGATCTGGTGCACTAAGAAGTCTGTAGATAGTCTTCTGGAAACTAGAAATGCATTTGTGCTTACCATTAAAAGTTATATAATGCAGAGTAATCTGAAGATCTAGAATCTGTAGCAATTAGTAGCTACTTTCAATATTTGCAGACTGGGAATATTCTGCATGCTTATTGACATAAAGCAGATAAAAAGGAATGAAACAATGCCTGTATTGAGGCAGTATGGAATCTGTAAAAACCTAATACTTTTACAACATTTAATTAGCTAAGAGGACTTTGTACTCTATTGGTCTGCTATCCCATTGTTATGACTTTATGGTACTTCTGCACGTGTGTCATTGAACTGAGATGAACTCCACTTCAGGAGTTAATAAGATGATAATTCATGTTAGAAATAATATGGATCAGGAAAGTTTTAAGAAAATGGTGTTATAGTTCTTGGACACCTGCACTTGCAAGCAGAAGGGGAATGGGGATATACAGAAACAAATACCGCATAATATCATGTGGACTATAAATTACAATAAAAATCAACACTTGGTTGGATTTTAAAAAATAATGAAACATGAAAGTAGCTGTGCCACTGTCAGTTTCTGTACTCTTGTGTTTCAGATCGAATGCCATCCATACCTGACCCAGGAGAAGCTGATCAAGTACTGCCAATCCAAAGGGATCGCTGTGACTGCATACAGTCCCCTTGGCTCTCCTGACAGGCCATGGTAAGACTCACTGCCATTTTGCAAGGGAGCTGGCAGGGATTACACTTGAAGCACTGAGACTCCAAGTGCTCCATTAATCATTCATCAAGAGACAGATTCCTGTTGCTGGGTTGGCTCTTTCTATGGAGGTTTCTTGCCACTGGTCTTTCTTTCCTCTGTGTAGGGCTAAACCAGAGGATCCTTCCCTTCTGGATGACCCCAAGATAAAAGAGATTGCAGCCAAGCACAACAAAACTCCAGCACAGGTAGGTGGGTGCTGGACAGTGGGTACTGCTTCCTGTAACACAGAATTTGTTGTTCTTTAGAACAGCTAATGACAAACAATGTAAAATGAAGAGCTTGACTCCTCATTCACTGAGCTGTGGTGTTATATAGCAGTGCAGCTCGTTTATTGAATGGTCTGAAATGCTTTCTTGAAAGGGTTATTTGACTATCAAGAAGAAACATTTTCTTGACCTATCTTTAAATGTTTGTCTTCTCATCTTAAGCCAGTGCAGAGAAATGAACACTTGTGTAGACTACCTATGTTTAGGTAGGAAGGAAACAAACCTTGTATCATAAGACTGGAAGGGCTACCACAGGGCTCCACTGCTCTATTTGCACTTCAGAAGGCACTGCTGAGACTTTGGTACAGTTTGAAATGCAGTTCTGCTGTGAGTGGTTAGTTCTGCTGAATTGTACAGTTTACAGCTTCTACTTTATTACAGAACAAAAGCTGTTCTCTCTGACTCAGTGGTATGCTCTGACTTCTTTCTGACTCAGTGGTCTCTTCCTGCAGGTTCTCATTCGGTTCCACATCCAGAGAAATGTGGTTGTGATTCCTAAGTCCATCACCCCCCAGCGCATTGTGGAGAACTTCAAGGTGGGTGATTACAAGTGTCCAGGATGCAGGGATGGCATCCTTTCCCTCTGTGGAGCAAGTGTTCCTTTCTCAGCCTTCCAAAGTAATCCTCAGATGAGGACTAGAGCTTTTCTCACATTACCTATAATGAGGGCTAAGCTAAAGCTGAAACTGGAGACACAATGAACAGAGGCATCCTTTACAAATAATGTTGCAGAATGCCTCCATCCTCTAAATGCTCAAGAAGCTTCTTGGAACAGCTGGCATATAAAAGCCTCCAACTTCTGAACTTTCAAATGCTTCCTTCCCTCCTTCTCCCACTGCTAGTGGAGTCTTGGAAATCCAAAGGTGCTTTTTTCCTCTTCCTCCTCCTTGAAGCCACCACTTCTTCTCACTAGCACCCCTCCAATGTGGACTTGTGCTTTAATTCTATGAGTCTTGCTTAGTCTGATTTGTTCAAAGAGGTGATTTTCAGCTGTTTCTTGTTAGGTGTTTGACTTTGAGCTGACTAAAGAAGAGATGACAACCATTCTCAGCTTTAATAGAAACTGGAGAGCCTGTGCAATGAGCACGTAAGTGATATTTTTAACCTGATAAGTTGTCACAGTTTTGTGTACTAGACCTGTTTAAGGTTCAGGATACTCAAACTCAATTTCCAAAGAGTTCAACTTCAAAATTTTTTCACAGTAAAATTTCAGATGTTCATATCATGAACCAAACTACGATGATCATAAAGCAAACTTGATGTTCATCTTGAGTTCAGTCTGCAAGAAGGCTTTTGTAGCTGGAATTCTGAGAGAAGGATTCTTGTTCATAATCTTAATTTTGTCTATATTGGAGATAGGAGTATGAGGCAGACTCAACTCATGATCAACTTTGCTTGCGGAATTTTATTTTATCTTTACTAACTTTTATGTATGTTATAAAAAAGGCACTATGATCTTAATGGGTTACTGGAGAAGTGGGTGAACGTTCAAGAAGTAATGTTGAGGATTTGCAACTTAAAAGCCTGAAGCTAGATATGAAGTCTTTTTGAAAGACTGCAAAAAAGATTCTCTAGGCAGTAGACAGTAAAACCTTGAATTAGTGATCTGTGAAGTGCCTAGGTCCCACAGCCTGAAATGCTCAGCCTGAACAACAGGAAGATACTTGAGAATCTTTGTTTACAAATGAAACACATCACCAAAGAAAACAGAAGTCTGAAACTGACTCTGTTTATACAGTTCAGTTCCCCCTCTGATTCTCTGCAGGGAGTACAGCTGCATGTAGTATTTCTCAGCTGTTAGAATAATGTTCTCCTCGATTTCTTTCAGGTGCAAAACCCACAAGGACTACCCTTTCAATGCAGAGTATTGAAGATAGTTTCCTGCCTCTCCCCAGACTTCTCAGATATGCTTCTGCTGTTGCCTTTGAGTTGTCTATCTAGCTTTCTCACTGCATCAACCCTCTTTTTTGCCCACGAAGACGCAGTGTGTGTACCCAGTGACTTTGGGTGTGCTTTTTGTTGTTTTTGTTTTGTTTTTCTTTTGAGGAAGGACATGCTAAAAAACTTCTGAAGAGCACACTGTGTGGACTACAGTAGAGTGTCTTTGCCAAGCTGCATGTCTGGAATTGGTAAGCAAGAAACATTGAGAGAGTTTGAGCTACTAGTCACTTACTTTGGAATATTGTGAATTGTAGCTAGTGACACTTGTCTCGATCTTGTCTGGAAGGACCAGGATATGACAGATTTTGCATAACTAGGTTGAGGTCAGATTTTCTAATTACTTCTGGATTTGATTTTTCTTTTTTTGTAACACTCCATGCTCTTTTCCTCTAATTGGAAGTACCAATTGATTTTTTTTTTAAGTATAGCAGTTGCTACGTGGGTAGCTCTTCAAAAAGTGTATAAGTCCTGGTTTCTTGGTGATATAAAAGCTGGGTTTGCTTATAATAAAATATAGTTTCATTACTGTGTGTAATGAGATGGTTATTTCAGCAATGCTCTTAATGGCAGCATAGAGTAGCTGTATTATATTGGCTGTCTGGTTACACAAATGCAAGGAAAATTACTGTCCCCCCTAGAAATCCCTATAGCTGATGTTAGCTTCTCACACATAGCCAGCAGGTTATCTATTGAATTCATGCTACTGCTTGTGGAATGTGTGAGTGTTAGGCATTAGTGTGTATCAATGGCCACAGGTTCACCTTTGGCCATTGAGTAGCCTACTTGAGCCTCTTTAAATACTGCTCTTACAGTATGCCTGACAGTTAATATACTGATGTTTAAATCAATCTTTATTTTATGAAACTGGCAGTATATTTGGTCTAGTATAAAACTCATTCCTTAAAACTCGTTCCTTTAAAGACATGAAGCCTACACAGAATCCTATGGGATGTTTTAAGTAAACAATAGAAAACATGCGCCTTCCAGGCAGGCAGCACGTGATGCAGGAAAGGCTTCTGTGCTTGTACAAGCAACAGCTGCAAATAACACAAAATGGACTTCTAAAAAGCTCCTGCATCACAAGGTGGCAGATCAAAAGCTTACTGCAGTGTTTTGGGAGCACAGAAGTAAGCTTATGGCCACATTTTGACACAAGATATCCTTTGCTTTATTTGTTCTCACAATATATGCTGGTAACGATTCTCAAGTTGTTGTCTTCTGAGAGCTGCTTAAGTCTATTCACAACAGGCGTTTAGACAGATGTAAAAATGGTGGCTAGTGCTGGGGTGATTTTCTTGGGTGTTCTCACAAATTTCTTTCCAAGGTCTGATTTGACTTGGAGTATGAAGGAGGGTGTGTAGTCCTGACAGGAAGAGCCTTCTTTCTGAAGGGATGAAAGAAGGAGATAACAGAACTGTTAAGGCATGATTACCCCTAAGCAGTGAGCTTAAGGTATGCTATGTAATTATGGAACCAGAATCCTACCTTCAGGCAAACTCTGCTGGCTTGAAAGGCAAAGCAATAAAACATTACTGCCCAGTGAATGCAGCTATTCTCAGAGTATTACTCTAAGTCGGCTTGTTTTCTGGTTCTGACAAAAAAACAAAAGGTACTGAGGAGTCATGCTAATTTAAAACTTGCCTTTCTGATGAATTGAAATAACCATTATATTGGGGGAAGCGGGTGAACACCATTTTTGTTATCCTCAAATGCTTTTTAAAATCTTTCCAGTATAGCTGATGCCAGACTTTGTGCAATACACGTTTGGTCAGAACAATTTACAACAGGCTCAACAGACAAGATTGCATTAACTTAAGATGCAGCGGGGAGGGGAGAGAATCAGAGTCTGACTCTAAGCAATATTCTTCTCCAGTGCTGATTCTTCTAACATAAATTGATTATAATTACTTTAAAGTCTGGTCTTAAAGGTAAACACAGAAAGTTTCAGCTCCAAAAGTGGTTCTGTATATTTATAATGCGGTAAATAAAAGCCCAGAGGCATCAAGAAAAAGCAGACCAGCTAATGGGCTTAGATTAGTCTGAGCTGTGACAGAAAACTGTTTGCGGCATTGTTGACTTGCTTGGAAATAACATCTTTGTGCCAAGTGTTCCAGCAAGGAGTTATATTGCGGATAAGGGACTCCAAAATAGCACATCAGGCTCTGTTCATTTCCTCTGTTTTCATTTCACTGTAACTTTATGGAAGTTTGTGCCTGGAATTTTTCCATTCTCAGAGTAGGAATTTTTCCATTCTCTGAGTAGGAATTTTACTGGAGAAGGCTTTCAGACAGACTGCCCTGTAGCAGAGGGAAGACCAGCAAGCTCTCTGAGAGGAGTGGTATTGTAACAGGCTCTCTCTGTATTTTTCTGGATGACCTAAGGGGGAAGAATTTGGAAAGGGTCATTCTGGGACACAAGGCAGTGCTTAACCAACAGAGGACTTGAATGCTTGGTGAAATATGAGTGGGAATAGAGGAAAAACAAATATCTGAGGGAAGAAACGATGCCTAAGCTTGAACAGAAAGCTGGCTGTTGACAGAGGATGAAGAAGGGAGTGAGAGATCAATAAGGCTTTTTTGAATTTAATTTTTTTTTTAATTTTTAACTTTCTATAATCTTTCCATAAATTATATTTGGCCTTGAAGAATTAAACAAGGCTGAAATGGGAAGAACCAGCCTTCTAGACTACAGCCAAGTCTTCATTTAATTTAAATCCCATGCTTGGGCTACTCTCTACATACCAGGGTAGAGATTTGCTTTCATCTTCTAAAAGGTAAAGTGGAATGATCAAAGACTATGATATCCGGAGCCTAGCATTCCTGCTAACTGAGTTCTTCCTGCTATAACTGTTCACAGCATTTGTTTTCCTATTGTGACTTGACGGATCTCTGGATTTCTGATCAAAGAAACTTTTAAGGACAAATACAATCTTGTAGCTCTTACAATGACATGTTTTTTTTGTTCTTTCTCAATTTAAGAACTTGTAGTTCAGCTCCACCTTGTTGACATTCTTAACTAGATTTTCTCATGACACCACTGCAACAGCTAGTGTGGTACTGTAGGACCCCTAGGAAGGGAAGTCCAGCTGGCTCACAGGAAAAATTAAGAACAAGATATGATCAGTCCTAATATGATCAATCCTAGGACCTGTAGAATTACTATTTGCACTCAAAATTCATGAGTTTTTTTTCAGTTGCGCTCTTGCTACTTGAAATACTAGACCAGTGGATCTTTTTTCATGTTAAAAGATTTTCTCGGAGAGAATAGATGCATTTCAGTAGTAGCCAAGAGCAGTGGTGAACTGATTTATCAGGGAAAGAGGTACCTTTTCAAAACCCAAGTTTTGTTTGGGTGGCAGAGGAGAATACAAGAAGCTGCCATCAGTATCAGACTTGTTTGAGATGGGATACCACCAACTGTCTTACAGGTACAGTATGTTTCAGCATGCAGTTAACATGGCTTTGGGAGAAAATGGCTTCTGATACTGGAACACAAGCCAGGCTGGTTGAAACCACTCTGTATATAATGCTCTGTAACTTAGTCTTTGCTTCCCTCTGGGGAAGACAAGGCTCTTCCTGCTGTTCCTGCGACTGACACAAGTGCATATTGTAAGGCTTGTGCAGAGCTGTGACAACTGGGCCACAGGAAACTCCTCAGGATATTCCTTGTATTCACCAAGGTGAAGGTATTACTAGAAAATGGAGGTCTTCGAGGCACAGAACAGTTGACTTGGGACAAATAACTTTCTCTTTACTCGCTTAATCCCTAGTTTAGCAACTGTAAACTGTGAGCTATTTGTAACACACCAGACATACCTGGCCTTGTCCTTAGTCACTTAAAGTATAAAGCTGAGTCTTTTGAAGGCCCTGCCAGAATTTAAATGGAGAAGCCACTCAACACTCTTTCACAGGTCACATTGCTCTCACATTTTAATTTGTTAAAGTGCACGGCATTGGGACTATTAGTACAAACACGTGCAGGACTACTTTTTGCTCAAATTCTTCAGAAAATCTAGACTGCATATTCAGCTTAATGTAAGTTTTCTTAACTGATTGTTTCCTTAACTGCATGTCAAGTAAAACAGTTTATTCTGCTAGAATAAGCCCGACTACAGCTGATAGTTGTTCATAAAAACAGCTGAACTAGATTGGATTAAATAACTACCAACTGCAGCATCCTATCCAACTATCACCAAAATAAGTTTTCTAAGGTGAGTAAATAGAGTGTTATAGTGGTGTTTGAATAGTCTGACTGCAGCTTAAGGTATTTAATGTTTAACAGCGATCAGTTAACTTCCTTTTTCAGTTACCTTGTGAGTCTTACACTCCAAGGGAATAATTTTCACTTCTGTGAAGAATTGGTGTCTTATTTGTCTGGGAGTTGTCTGCTGCAAGATTCATTTAATGCTCCCAACTTATATGGTGGAGGAGATAGCAGCTGGTCTATCTCCTTTTACATTTTCCAAGCTGCTCCAGACTTTGTAATGTTCTGTCATAGTTCCTTGTGTTGGTATCTGATCAAGGAGAGTCTCAGCCTACTTAACTGCTACCTGTGGAAATTACTCCTGTGCTATTGATCATCCTATTAAGTCTTCTATAAATCTTTCTGAGAGGGAAGTATGGACTAGAACTTTGCATTCAGTCCTGCACAAAAAGTTCATAGTGGAACAGATCTGCCTTAATGTTTCCTCACATTCTGGTTGCTTGTGAATGATACTGAGTTCAATATAAATTGTGGAAAAGCTTGGAATTATACTACACGGAGAATGTTCTTAATTTTACCTGTTGTTCCTTAGCTATGTTACCATGTTGTTCCTCTAAAGCAGGGGAATAATGTTTTTTTCACCCAGCCCCTCTGGAACTGTTAATGAAGGGCTGACTATACTGGAACAGATGAACCACACAATAAAAGCTCAAGTCATGGGACAGCATGTTGTGATACAAAGGCAAAATGCTAAGCTATTGTCCATTCATTGGGTTCAGTGTGGTGCTACAGATAACTTCACTGCTGACTCGGAAAGATCTGAAGGTTTGCTTTAAGAGCACAGTCACATAGCTGATGAAAACTGATAATGATTTGGGATAATGTAACCTTCTTGCTGTAGTTCCAATGAAGTGGGTGACTGTGCTGCTGAGGAAGTAGGCACATGGGAAGAAAAGCTGCTAGACCTTCAAGGATCTTACTCAATTTCTTTCCTTTCCTGTCAATTGAATTTACAATAGCTGTAAAAGAATCCCGGGTCTTTCCTTGCCTGTCACAGCAATTTTTATTTTCTCCACAAGCAGGTTCTACATAATGCAAAGGCTGAACTTTGTAAAAACAGAAGAGAACAGATTTTTGGAATCCTTAAAACTGAATACAGGGGGATCGTGCTTAGTGGTTTCCTCTCTACAGATCTCTTTAATTAGATTTCTTTAATTAGAGCAATGCCCTGGTGACACCTGTTGGGGTAAGGGTGAAGCAAAGTGTGCTTCTCAAGCAGCTTACAGCAGGCTTGCTCCTGTTGGCTGCTGTGAGGCAGCAGTAGTCTAACAGAAGGTTATCTTGTCTTTAAGTTGTATGGATGCAGCTGTGCTGCAAAACAGAAGATACTTTATTGCCCCATAACAGATACCACCCAATTTTTCTCCTACCTCTGGTAAAGTCTCTGCAGCTGGAAAAAAAACACAAACTATTGTCTGTAAAAACAAATGAACAATCTCTGGCTTCTAGCTTGTTTTGAATTTTTTACTATTATATGGCTGCTGTGATCATGTAGTCCAACTTCCTGCCTACTGCAGTCTATAAACATCCTGTAAATAACTTTGATAGTTGTGATTAAGTTGGAATGTTGTTAGAAAACTCCTCTGAAGCAGAGTATGTTTCAAGATAGCTGCGCACCCCAGCCTTGAGTGAGCATTGCTCTTCCTGCTGTGGATTGACAGCTTGACTGCTGCTTCAGAAAAGGTCCAGCTCTCCTCTAGGAGTATTTTTGACAGAAACAAGGCCACAGTCTTCAATCCCAGAAAGCACAGCCTGTTCCATGCAGCTTACTTTCTAACTGAGGTTATGATGATGTACTATAACTGACCTTTTCAGTGTAGGAAATTAGGGCAAAAAAAAAAAAAAGCCTGTTGCAAGCACCTTTCTGTCCATACCACTGCACTTAACTGTCTGTTCTGACAGTTTTTGACAGAATTGCTTTCCCAGTTCTAGGGCACCTGTTACAAAATGCTGTAGTAAGAGTCTAAAGTAGCTGAAAGATGTCATCATTTCCTTTATAGACTTTAAAACCTCAGCTTCAAAGAAGATCAGCTGGCAAAGGCTATCCATGAGGTCTGTACCCTAGCCCTGACCCTTAATTACATAATCATCCTTCCTCTATGCAAGCAGTGCTGGGCCACATTGTTCTACTGGACTGAAAGAGCCCAGAGGGATTACAGGAGTTCTGTGGGTCAGAGTTCAAGAGCAAGAAGTCTCGATTAACAGACACTTCATTAAAACTTGAGCAGATGCATGGGCTGCAGCAACACTGACCCCCCACCCTAAAACCAACATCCAGTAACATCCTTTGGGTCAAAACACAAAATGGTATCAAGGGAGTGATATAAGGGTGAAAACCTGCTCCTGGCTTCTAAAAGCTGCCCAAATTTTGCTTGTTAAATATGACAGCTGCCAAACAAAATAATTCCTGTGTCCTTTATCAGACTGGATTTGTTGGGAGAGATTCACACTCTGAACTGCAGGTATTCTACTGATAAAGGCAGTATTTATATACTTTTATCTACAATAAAGCAAACATACTGATCTCCTACTAGTTTGTTAGTATTTAGCAGTTCATAAATGTGGAAACGTCATTATGAAAACAACTCCAGAAATATAATTCAGTGTCCTCTGAAGTGTTGTCAGTCATTTACAGTGAAGTTACTGAACTTGGTAACAATCAAAGATCACATTGTTAAATTAATTATGAATAGACATGAGAAGACATATTAGCAACTAAAAAATAGTTTGCATGTTTTGACCTGTTGTCCAAAAACACAAGCACTAGGAGAATCTTTAAGTTTCTTTACAGTTTATCATGATGTGTTTATGATGAAGGCTGCTTTTCACAAGTTCAGGATTATTAAGCTTAATTGTCATTACTAAATGCTTATAAAATATGTATTTTGTTACAAGTGAGAACAATTACAAGATCAAAGTAAAGATACAGATAAAGGAGGGATAGAACTGTAGTTGATACTAAATGAAGCAAACTCATGCCTGCTTGAAGTTTACTCCTCAGTAGTCCCATGAACTGTGTTCTTCCATCTTGTGCAATACATAGTCAACTTCTGCTGTGATTTAATACACCCAAAGCACTACAAATCACTTCAACAATGAAATATAGTCCTCTTGATCCCTGAGGGATCTGAAGATAATGCCCACATTAGTCCTCCAAAAAGATAGTTCTTGGTTTTTTTGCATATGAAAGCAAGCATAGGATTAAAATGCTCATATCATATAGTCTTAAAGCTGAGAAAAAAGAGCTTTCTCCCCTGTCCCAGTGAAAGCTCTGCAGAGCTAAAACTGAACTGCAATAAAAACAAACCCTGCTTACCTTACATAGCATAGTGGAAGTTCATGCTTTGTAACCTTCACATGTGCCAATGACCTCATTCTCAGAAGATAAGATAATGTTTGCATGGCTGAAATTGCCAAACTTCTCTGCAATATTAAACGACTCTCTTGTGAACTGGAAGTTTGCAGAATTCTATTAGATAAGTGAGTAAACCTAGGGAAACAATAAATGGCAGGTTTTGCTAAGTCTGTATATAACTGTTCTGATCTCTAGATGCTGCCCTAATAATGTTGGCATAAATACACAGGCACAGATTTTCACTTAAAAAAAAAAAATTGCAACTCATTCTTAAAATTGAGTTTATTTACAGTGACTGTCTGTTACATAAAGTAGCCAAAGAAAACAAAAAAATGCCTTTTTTTTTTTTTTTTTTAGAATTTCCAACTGATTTTGATTTTCAGGCATTAGTTTGAAATCCATTACAGGTGTCTTAACATACTCTGCATATTAGAGCATGGACGGTGCTCTAATAAACCCTGGTGCTGGATTCCAGCAGATATGGATGTGCCACGTATCAGCTAAGGTTACCCCTTTCTTTAAACAAGGCAATGATTAATCCAATCCTGCTGAAAGACGGAGGAGGAGGGGAAGAAGGAGGTACTCAGTCACTTAAGGCACAGATTTGGTATTACTTCTTGAAGGTGAGGAAGGTTTCCATCTCCTCTTTAGCCAATTCACAGTCAAGCACCTGAAAACAAGATGCCGAACAGCTGATTTATACCAATTTGCAAAAAGACAAGTATAAGTTCATTTGCAGAAAGAATACCAAAAACAGAAGTAGAAAAGTGTTGTATTAGTGCTAGAAAGCACGTAACAGATGCATGTTTGTAGCGAACAATGAAATAATGTCAAACATAATGCTGGTGGGAGCCTAATTGCGTCATTTTTACATCACCAGGTGGAAGTTGCTATCTTTTTCTTGATCTGTTTTAAAGATGGAGTCTCAGGTCCTTACTTTTAAAATAATATCTTTCATTCATAAAGAAGTAACCCACATGGTATCTGACAAACAATGGTTTTTTGCATTTCTAGGTGTGAAGGGGATACTTTGTTCCACTGGCAGAGTGGATTTCTCTGTGTAAGACTAACACCACTAAGAATTTTATAAGGTATCCTCTTACCTTAACATTTTCCTCAGTATGGTGTGGAGTGACAGGTTTGGGAATTACATTCACATTTCTTTGAATATGGAGCCAGATGAGCACCTGAAAGAACAGAGATTTAAAGCTGAGAAGTTCTGCCCATCTTCTGAAAGCTGAAAAAAATACTTGCCTACATGGCTACAGGGAGCAGCCCTACTGATAATCAGAGATGATTTACACAGGAAAAACACAGAAAAAGCACTATAATAAGCACTTCCTAATTATTATTGCATGAAGTCATTTAACCGTTATTTTTCTCAAGTCGGGATGACAGCATGGGAGCGCATTGAACAAGAATTCAGAATTGGCCAGGGATGCTGTGTGTAGAAGTGGCTAGTGTGCCAATGACAGCCCACCAGTTAAAATCCAGACATTGGTGATCACTGACAGTCTTCTAACACTAGGTCTTTATAACTAGGCTTAGAATATTTGTGAAGCGTTCCATGCTGGATGAGACAGCTGGAACTCAACTTTCCATAAAGTCTTTGTAAATAGTTATTTTGGCACAAGTTGGAAAACTACATGTCACAGGGGAAAATACAATGAGCAGTGGGCAGTTGTCCCATCATTCATAAGCACGGTTTCTCTGCTAAGTCCCAGGTCAGAGAAAGCCATGGAGACTGGAATAAAAGCAAATTTCTTCAAGTCAGCCATTTAAAATCCCAGGTCTCAGCAGGACAGCATGCTTCCTATTTTTGCAAGTGTGTGGTGCTTTGGCTTTTGTTTGTTTGTTGGTGGGTTTTTTTAGATCAGAAGCTTTCTTATGTGTTTAATAAGCTGACCACAGTTCAGTTAAGAATTATCTTCACAACTTTCATCAACCAAATGATTCGTTATCTCCTAAATAGGAAGATGTAGTAACAGCACAGGAACGAATTAGTGGAATGGATATCACAATAAGCATGAGAAAGGTTTCTGTCTGTTTGTCCTTTTTAAGCAATTATCAAGCATTTTTCTAGTTATATCAGTTTTACTCTGTAAGGTCTTATCCACACACTGATTCTGATATTGACTCCAATATATGCGTGAGAAGAAATCTCACAAAGCATTCTTGCCACAGCCAGTTGGGTGCTCCAAGGGGGCAATATGTAGGGACAGAGATCCCTTTGGACTGGCAAAACTTAATCAGCTCTTCCTGAGGAAGGTACGGGTGGCTCTCAATCTACAAAAATAAAAAGATGCTGGTTTCTTCGAACACAGAAGCGACTTCAAGATTAAACATCACTATGGTGACCTGCTAACTCTACATCAGCTTTGAAAAGACTGCTCTTGTGCAGTTACGTGGTTTTTATGAGTGTCAGCCAGTATTCCAGATTGTTTCCTCTTCTTCTCAACCCTGCCCAGCAAGGCCCAATCTTCATACATTAGTTTCCCTTTCCAGTTCCCTGCTTCATTTTTCATACTTTCTCATAGTCCCATATCAGTGGGCTCCAAGCTCCAGCTGTCCACATCCAGCTGGAGCACCCACCCGTCATCGTACCCAGCCCTACCTATCCCAGTCCAGTGGTGTGGCCAGCTCCGATCCCTGCCAGCACATGGGATGCGTGCAGGGGCACCGGGAGCAGAGCGAGGCAGCCTCCTGCCCCACAGCCTCAGCTGCAGAGCTCAGCTCCCAGCCCACATGAGCTTGGTGCTGCGGTCAGAGGTAAGGTGAAGCCTTGTGAGCCAGCAGCACCACAGGCTTGTGAAACTACAGCTTCCTGTGCAAGTGAGGGTGCAGAATGCAAGCCCCGTGTTTTCCGATGCTTGGTAATTAAGCCAAATACAGGTGTGTTCTCACAGGGATATCAAAAATCACCCCCCTGGCATAAAAGCTATTGCATGGCCAGGCACGTTCTGCTAAATGCAACGCCACAGATGGGTGTGATGCAGGTACTGATAAGGTGAAGAAGAATTTACCTGATTATTTGCAGGTTTGTGGTTCAAATCTGGTTTGCTCAAGAGCCGATCTGTCTGTCTACAGTTGAAGCTGGAGATTCTGATGGCTTTTACCCTTCCCACACATCCACCACCTCTTTCTTGGCCTAGAAATAGCACAGAATCAGACTTGTTATTGAATTAGGATTTATTTTTTTCCCATAAGGAAAAAATGCCTGCGGAAAGACTTCAGTGGAAACTCATCACAGCTGGGATGCTCTTGTGATGTGGCATTAGTACAGCACAGTGAACATTGGGATCCTGGTCAAAGACTCAGGGTGTCACATCATGTGTCATCATACATAAAAACAACAGCTTTATTCCAGATTAACAATTATTACAGTGTGATTATTTCAGTGTAATGCAGTTATTTTGAAATGCTATCCCTAAGTAGACCTTATTTTCTAAAATATCGGAGGGTGTTTTTTTTTTTTTTCAGAATAATTCCTCAGCTAACAAAATAAATATCCCGTAATAAAAAGCCTGTAGTTGGAACAGAGTGCCTGAACAAGGAGCTATTTTGAGAGAGCCAGAGCAGAGAACCTGATCCTCGCTACTGAAGAATTTCCCAGGGGAGCCATACCACTTAGCTGTGGCCATATAGCACAAGCAGAGCTACACTCCTGCCACCTCCTGTTTTCTTTCACACTAACAAACAATAAAACAGTTTGACAGCCTTAATTAGCTTGGCACCTCCAACACAGAAGAAGCAGGAGAAAATCTATTTACTGCCTTCAGAGCGGAAGATACACCTCTAGCCAAACAGAAATCCTGTTCATTCAAAGTTGCTATCATAAGCAGCAGCCTGACATGACCAGGTTTTTCCTTCAAACAAGATACAAAATCGTGCTTTGTTCTTGGGGTCAGACAGAAAGCAGAAGGGGAAGAGCATCACTGAATTCTTTTGACTGGCGTGTCTCTGGTCCTCTTCTGACCTGGCCCTGGTGAGAACAGGGAGGGCAGAGGGCCCAAACCAACAGCAAGCAGAAATTGGTGCCTGTGCCTAGGTCTGGACTCACGCACCCAGCCACCAGGACCGGGCAGCTCCAGCTGCTGCAGGGCACATGCACACAGCTTCCTTTCTGCCATGCCCACCCAGCAGTAGGCATAAAAATACCTCAATTTTGGCAAAGTAAGGCAAGAAGGAGCCCCAGGGCACAGAACAATCGACAATCTGGGATTCTTCATGTTGGAAATTCTCCCCAGACGACTCCCAGCGTGGTCAGTGGGAAGTTTTCAGGCTGTTATTTCAAACTAGCAAGAATTTTTCATCATGTCAACAAACATTCCTCCACGTGTTTAGAAAAGCTGTACCACTGGGAATGATCATACCATTGCCATCTGCAGGAAATGGCTCCTCTCTGGCCTGTCATTGCAAAAGAAACGTGGGTTTAAGGTAGGCTGAATCACAAGTAGTTAAAGGGATCACGTAGAAGTCCAGCGAGCAAGTGGAGCTGGAGACACGGTGGATATCCTGGCTTGTGTTTGTGTTGGGGAGAGAGGTGGCCAAGAACACTAAACCATATGAGCACGGTAATCTTCAAGAAAATCTGCCTCTGGAGAATCCGTCCTGCAGGCAGAGGAAGGGCAGACACTTTTATGTGCTCCAGTCGGGTTGTGGGAAGTCTGGGGATGTGACACAATGGGGAAGTGAGGATTTATTTAACCTGGGGGTAGAGAGAGAAGAGAAAAAAGGGAATTCACAACTGTTTGATCCTGGATAAGCACCAAACGGCCAAACCCCAGGCTTTTAGAGTAATGTGATATGGATGGTGATTTGATCCATGACATGGAAATGCTGTGCAGGGGAAAATAAGGTGATTTTGTACTACAAGACTTATCTTCAGCAGCCATGATTTTACCTTTCCTCCTGGGCACTCCGTACTGAGGTTCATCATTATGTCTTAATGAGGTTTAACAATACTCTTCATTAGAGAGCACTAAGGACTCATCCAGTCCCAAAAGAAAACATGGCAGAGCCCCGACAGGGCTTACAGGAGTTCAAGCCTCATACCTTGAATCCCATGGGCCAGCACATCAGGCAGAGATCCAAATAACCCAGCAAGAGGGCAGTGAGTGCTTTCTGGCACCCCTCCTTCACCAGGGACTCCCCGTGGAAGGTGCCCCACAGCTCGGGGGACACAGCCCAGGAGCTCCTCTCCCAGCCTCACAGCTCCAGAGCATCCCGGGCAGGGAGGACACAGAAGCAGCTCACGGTATGGGACAACTCACTGTGAGGAAGGTGCGGTTTTGTGCACCTGACTGTATTTGCAGCAATACCTGTCTGCTAAGTGAAATAAGACAGAGAGGCTCTAAAATTCCAACAGTTTAGACAACAATTGAACAAAACGAATTAAAAAGCAAAACTGGTTTTGATTTTAATTAAACCAGTTTTGATTAAAAACCAACCTGCCAGTTTCCAGCAGATAGAAGTTACTTTACTTTTCCTACCATTGTTGTCGGGGGGAAAACCAAACCAAAACATAACACCCAGGAGTTAACAGGCTGAGCCCGGCAGCGCAGCGGGAGTGACGACAAGTACAATAGCCAGGCTTCCTATCTCAGAGGCAGCTGAGAGCACGGCCTCAGTTCCTGTCTCCATTGCTGACAATGGGTATCAACTACAAAAAAATCTCTCCCACATCAAGCCATTTTTTTCAGGAGTTGACCTCTCCCTTCCCTCCATCCACAAAGGGCTTACACCTGACAGAAAGGAGTCTGCAGGCCTTGTCTCCTCCTGAGAAGGGGCCTCACGTGAAATGAGTTACCCAAGGACACACCTTACTGACAATAAAGAGGTCTTCTCACCTCAAAACACCCTCCTAATTTTTTTCTCGTAGTGCATCTATGATCTCACTCTCATTCTGGTACGTGAAGGCACAGTCAAAGTGGTGGCACCCAACACTGATAGCACGCTTCACCGCATCTCTTGCTTTTACTAGCAGAGACTGAAACAAAAAGGAAAGTCAGTAGGTCGGTAAATAACAGAAAAAGAAGTTTGCTGTCCTCCAAATCTGGAGACTTTAAAATTCAAAATGATGAGGTGCTCTATTTTGGATCTTGCTTCTGTTGGTTTTCCAGAATAAAGCACACTGACCCTTGGCACTGGCCACAGCAGTCGCTGAAGAGCTGCCTGAGCTGATCTGCCGTTTTGTAAGGATTGAATGCTCACAGTCAGACAGCAAGGTATCTTGAAATAAGTTTTAACTTGCCCAGAAATAAAAAGCAGTTTCAGTATGAGCTACTGGCAGCCTAAGAAAATGAGCCGTCCCTGGAAAGGGATGCAACAAGACAGACGCCTCTTGCTGGTGCAGGACAAGGGACACAAGAGGACTGCAAACCACTACAGACAGTGCCACCTCCCGGGGAAAACACACAACACGGGATCTGAGACAAGTAAATCAAGTTCTTGGCTCAGAGACACTGAAGAGTGTGATGACCGCACACCAATTCTGAAAAATGGCACTTGACATGGAAACACGATTCAAAACCACGGTCACTACCTATATTTAGCTTAATAACATCACCTTTTTAAAATGATTTCATTTTTCTAAGTATTTCCAAACAAAGGGTGCTTGGTTGGTTCTCCTTAATTCAAAATGATATCACATGGAAACTGCAGCAGGGTTTGGGATTCTTGGTTTTGTTTTTTTTTTTACATGAGGCTACGCATGACCAAGTACCAAGTTTCAAGTTGCCCAAGTTTTCATTTTTGCAGCCTTTCCCAACCCCAGCCCTTCTGATGTACAAATAATACTGCTCTTTGTGTGTCATGGGAAAGCAGACTAACACCACCACCTTGTAGACAACACAGCACAGAGTATTTATCTCTGGGTGCAGCTGGAGCACAGGGAAGCTCTTTGCTGTGCTTACCCCATCCCTGGAGGTGCTCAAGGCCAGGCTGGATGGGGCTTTGGGCAGCCTGGTCAGGTGGGAGGTGTCCCTGCCCAAGGCACAGGTTTTGCAACTCAATGGTCTTCAAGATCCCTTCCAACCCAAACCATTCTGCGACCCTGTGCAGGGGAGAGCTCCCTGGGAGAAACCACAACAGCAACTGTGCTGCTTTTGAGTGCAGGAGAAGCCATAAGAGGACCATGGTGACAATACACCCCATCATTATATAAAGCAAGATGTTTTCAGAAAAAATAATCTGTTATATATTCCAATGTGCTCACTGAACAGGACTTCAAATTTCTGAAGTCAGGGTGATGGGGTAAAGAGGATGCCACATTGTTCCACCAAAACACAGGGAGTTGCAGCACACGTTATGTGGGAACCTCAATATCACAAAGCTTTGATTAGTTAATCTCAGTAGGTTTGGGCCACATTTTCATTGCAGTAATGTAAGAGATTTTGTGGTGACAGAGATCACATGAACAAAAATTTCCTTCTGTTAGTGTCCTAACAGGTTCCTTCAGAGAGCTCACAAATCCTAGCATTAGTGCCCTAAGAGGCCTCACACAAACACTCATCATTTAAAGCCTATTTATTTACACTCAGGCATCCTAGTGTCTGCTGTCATCAGACCAATCAAGACTGAAAGGGTTAAACAAACTCAGCCCTATTTGCACTTAAGTTATGCAATAATTAGCATCAGCTGACCAAGAAATACAACAAGAATTTAAGATACTTTCATCGTGACTAAACAGTGTGTTATAGGCTTGGCAGCTTACAGTTCAACATACTTAGTTTCCAGCCTCAAGTTCAAGGGACAATCCACTTTTTTTCTCTCTTTCTTAATAAGCTCACTTTCACCCCTTTTAAATGCTTCTCTTCTTTTATATTTATAATTCAGTACATCCTTAAATATTCTCTCTTACCTAAACCAAATACATTTCCATAGTATTTGCAAGTAAAGAGCTACCCAAACTATTTTTTCTGCAAAGTGCTATGTATTCATCTGGTGTCATATGGAAAAGTTATCCTCGGTCTCTAAGGAGTTCATGTAGATTCCCATTTCCAAATCCATCTCTCATCACTTAAATTCCCATACTTACATATGTTCATCAAAGATGATACCTACACACATGCTAGGATACTAATACACAGCACCAAGACCAAGAACAAAGACAAATAGGCTAGGCAGAATTTTTTACTTCTGCAGTACATTGTTTGTTTTTTTCATAGTTAAGAAAAAATCTCCTTGTCATCACTACCTGCTCACTCTACAAGTTTTCTGGAGACAGGTGTAAAAAGCCTTCAATACCTGAAATATTTAAAGAGGCAAGAAATACCCTATAGAGGGCTTGGTGCATTTTCCTGACTCCAAGAGAAGATGGCTGGAAAAGCCTTCTGCCTATCTCAGCAATTTATTGGTGTCACCTGTGTGACCATAGGGGCATTGCCCCTCCCTCCTGCCATGTGGGTGGGTGCAGGCAAGGAAAAAATGAACAGAATGGATAAAAAATAAAATAAAATAAAATAAAATAAAATAAAATAAAATAAAATAAAATAAAATAAAATAAAATACGCTTTGCCTAGTATCTCACTCTTTGGAGAATGTCAAAATTTACTGCAGACTTCTTCCATGTATTTGTTGGGTGAATTTGTTGTACCAGTTACACATACTGCATTGACTGAGGTTGCAGCTTTTTGTATACCTCATAGTCCATGCTTTTCTGCAAGAAAAATGGTATTTGAGGAGTTCACACACCCCTGAAGAGCCATTTCTGGTCTCACCTTCTCCCAAACCTTTCACCAGAAGGAGCCACCAAGCTGCTTGTCTTAGGAGGAAACACAGTTCTGCCCACAAGAGGGACCAAGTACCCAAACCTCACCATCAAAATCATGGGCTTTGAAGGGTTTCTGGCTGACCTAAAGCTTCTCTGTAGTTTTAACCCTGCTCCTTGACTGACATTTTATTGTAGGTGTGTCAGATTTATCAGTGTTATCTTTTCTCTCAAAGAGGAAATAAAGTTTCTTTGGTGTTTGCCCTCAATCACTGTAGAAGAGGTGTTGACTCAATTCATATTTCACTATAAGCAATTGTTTTTCTCAGCTATCCATTATTACCATCTTTATCATTCTACAGATCTGGAAATCTGCAACCGCACAGTCCTTGCTTACCATACAAAAGTAATTTCTAACATCAGAAAATACACCTTACAAAATTTTCAGCCTCAGTTTAGGGATATGTCTGTCCAGTGATGACGTGAATTCACATCATCAGCGAAGGTGCATTTACATTTTCATTAGGGTTTCTTCGTCTGCTCATAGAGCTTCATGCCTATAGACAATATTTCACTTTGTCATAAGATTCTGAGATTGAATGATGGCTTACTTATATTATAATTTGCTGCACTACACAATATTTTAAAGCTGGATATTAACTAAAAATGCATGTCCTTTCCTCTTCCAATTCATTTATAATCTTCCTGCATTTCTCAGGATTAGTATTAGCATTCCCAGGATGTAATAATGATAATATCTCATCAGAAGTCAAATTACTTGATTGTTTGATACATTTAAAATGTTCTGATGCAGTTTTGTTGGTATCTTTAAAATAAACAAGTAGACAATGGATTATTTCCTATTCAGCTGTCTTGTATCCCCAGTCGTTGCTGGTGCCCATCTCAACCAGCAGCATCTTCCTCTGCCTGCAGCCTGACCTTTTCTGCACTGCTCTGTGTAGATGTTCTTGCAGCTCCTTCCTACAACCTCATCTTTTCCACTGCAGTCAGCACCTCAACCCTATGTCCAAAGATTTTAATCGAGATGTGCGAATCACTGCAGCTTTGGGACAAGCCTTAGTTTAACCTATTAACAAGAACCCCTAACCAAAGGAGACCCCTAATGAGAGGGGCTCCCCCTTGACCATGGCACTGCTCTGCCAGTACCAGCACAGGCCTGGGGAGCAGCACTGCTGCCCTGGCAATACCTCGCTCAGAGAGGCACATTTCCACACTAAAACAAACTATGGGAGAGCTTTCAGTCATGAGTCTATTTTGGAAAACAATAATCAACTCCAAGCACCCTTTCTTAAGTCTGCCTGAAGGTCGTGGTTCACTTTGCCTTTAACTTCTTCTTCCATTTTTCACCACATATATTCCTGTTTGTTATGTTTTCTTAATTCAGGTAGATTTACCTCAGAAACAGTTCCAGTTTCTTGACCATGTTTGTATCAGAAATGCATTCTCTTTTAAGCTCTTTAAACCATTTGTGACTCCTGGGCCTACTTTTGCAGCCAGGTGCCCACTGTCTGCCAGCTTCAAGCCGGTAAAACATAAACCAGCCAGTGTGGGAAGCAGCAAGGGATCAGAGCTGAATAGCCCTATACTGAAACAGACTGCTTCATAAAATACCTCTGAAAGGTTGTCTGAGGTTACTGTTTGCACTTGAAAACGCTGCCCTCCGCCTACAGCTTCAGGCACAAGCCGTGTTGCCAGAAGAAATGCCAGCTGCTGGGCTCCCTTCCCCTTGGTTCTCACAGCTCTGGGAGACCACGGGCTGCAGGGGACAGCCTGTGACATCAGGGGCCTCTCCACATGGAGATCTGTTCCATGTGGGACCCATGGGCTGCAGGGGACAGCCTGTGACATCAGGGGCCTCTCCACAAGCCACAGGGGAACTGCTGCTGCCTGCCTGGAGCACCTCCTGCCCTCCTGCTGCACTCACCTGGGGGCTGCAGGGCTGCTTCTCACCCCTCTCTCCCAGCTATGTTGCACAGCAGTTTTTTTCCTCTTTCTTCAATCTGCTCTCCCAGTAAGCCCGCCCAGTGTCAATTACTGGCTCGGCTCTGGCCAGCAGTGGGTCACTTTGGAGCCAGCTTAAACTTGCCCCTGTCTGACATGGGGCAGCTGCTGGGCCCTGCTCACAGAAGCCACCGCTGCAGCCCCGTTAATACCAAAACCTTGCCACGTAAATCCACTGCAATACATTGCTACGATTTCCCTGGGCCTGAGTTTGGGCACGTCAAGAAACTTGGCTCCAATGATAGGAGGGCAGCAAGAAAAAGCTGCCTGAAAGGAAGAGCTGTTGAAATGCCTGAGGGCCATGTCTGGCTTCAGGAAAGGCAAAAAGTAAAGCTGCAGTTCAACCCATAGGCACCAGTTTGAACCCCGGGTTGCTGAGTGAAGGCTGGCTTTTTATGCGACATTCCTCTACGGACAAGTGAGAACTGCACTTAAGAAGATCTGCTCAGCAAAGGCAAACCCTGTGGGAAGAAGATGCCTTAAAACTACAGCTCTTCCCCAGGAGTGCTGTCACGGGATTCATTACTGGACTCTATCAGTCAGACAAAACAGGTTATTGTGGTCCGCTATTAATTATCAGTAAAGCCATTGTTATTAAAATCATTAGTAAAGCTAATTCCAAATGTGTATTACACATTTCATTGTAGTTTAGAGTAACTACAATCTTATTAACCCATGGGTTTTATTCCATATTAGGATGGCTCCTTTCTTGCAGGCCTTTTTTAAACATACAATGCTTCTGTTCAATGTTTCTGTGTAAACACCAGTGATAAATAGTTAATAAGTGACTCCTGTAAATTAAAATTATACTGGCAGTAAAACATCAAGGATTGTTTCTCTTTTACTTTCGTATATAGTTTTGGGATTTGCAACATACAGAAACTTTAGAGACTAGGTATGATATATATATGCATCATATAACATCAATACATACATATTTATTTAAAAAAATAAAAACTATTTTTAATGTATTTATTGAAACTGGGGAATATCTGGAGCTGCGGATGAGTGCCAGAGATGAAGCAGACAATCTGTGTATTTTACACCTGCTCTATTGCTACGTCACAGACTTTCCCTTAAGACTCAGCAATCCCAAAACAAACAAAAAAAAAAAAAAGGAAATGAAGACTTACCAGAATTTAGAGTAATCTCTCCACCCATTTATTCTTGGCTTTATCTTGCTTTTCAGGGACTTTGCTACCTGTGCTAGCTTTCATTTGCACAGTGGCTCTAGCATGGGGCAAATAATCCCAACTCCTTTGACGGGACTCTATGGCTGTGCTTCTGGCAGAAATCCAGGAGCTGCTTTTCCATACCCTGCCCCTATTCAAGGTGGACTCTACATTTTATATATGTAAATATATGTATACTGCTACTTTGCAGGGTATGAAATCTCAGCACAGACTGTTTTGCCTAGCATTTAATTTCATGTACTTAATTAAGAGTCATTCATATGCAGTTTATCTAGTGCACAAACTAACTGCTGTGGATGCAGAGGCATCCATGGTGACTTTCTGCAAAAGCAGCACAGGACTGATGGAGTTTTTGAATCTATATGCAATGCACTTTGCACATTGTCCCACTCCTCTCATGGCCCAGCTGGCTCTGGAAGCAATATAAACTGGCAAGAAACCTGACAATAAATCCTTTGTATCTCCTGTGCAAGGGCCAAGTGCCCTGGGAAGGGTTAGTCTCATTTTCTCAGCCGTTAGTTATATCCTGAATACTTCTGAGGTGGAATTGCTGCAGTGTATGAGCTCTGTGAGTGTGGCCCACAGCCTCCCAGCAGCGCTCCCTGCTGCGCTCTACACCAGAGTGAAAAGGGTGGAAAAAGAAAGCTGTATTTTTTACGCAGTGCAACCCTTGTTTTTCTTCAAATGCAGACACTGTATTTTCCACACACCTTCCAGGCATAGAAGTTTTTCATAGGGCTCACAGTCAGTCTTCCTCAGCATATGTCTCCCAGACACAGTCTTGTAAGCAGTGACCCCAAATTTGCAATGAAATGAACTACATTATTAGTTGTTATTAAGTACCAATAATGAGCTCAGCCTTTCTGTATATAGTGCTGTGGACAGCCAGCAAATCTGTATCACCACGAATTTTGTAAAGGGCAGGCAGCAGCGAAGAAGTCAAAGAGGAGAACAATATTTAGAACTAGAGAAGTTAATCCTCTTCATTTTCAGAAACACAGTATCTACGATTGTGTTTGCTGTTAATTTTAATGTGACTTTTCATCATGAAAATCAAAAGGAAGGAGACAGAGGTTTCATATCAAACTCACATAGCTCAGATTTGATCCCATTCATCCTTGGGCTGTGTTTCAGAACAGCAGTCCTGAGGCCCTGCTTGGTTACAGTAGCAGCGTGTGCATGTTGGGGAGCAAGTGGGAGCAGAAGTGTTGTGGCCAGTGCAGAGCCTGTGCCAGGGCTCCCAACATCTCCTCTTCTTCCTGATCAATCCACTGCATGCAGTGTGTGGCTCTACATCTGGTAAGAACTACATGTGTTGATGCTGATCAAACCTGTGTTTGCTTCGTGCTGAGCAATGAAGCCTACCTGTCAGCTCCACAAGTGCACCAACAGACCCTGCAACCTCTTTTCCCCTGCCTATGGGTTGACCCCAGAGGTTGCTTCTTCCCCTCCCAGCCTCATAAACACGATGTTCAAGGCCAGAAGTGATATAGGGCAGCTGTAATTTTGGATCAGGCACCGGTGAGAAGAGACAAATCCTGTGAAAGAGCTGCGCAAAACTCTACCTGTAACCTTCACTCTGTTTTGAGTGCTGCCTTTGAACTGAGGCCCCCACCTCCCTGCTTCCTGAGGCCTCATGCTCCCTGACACTTCCTTGAAAAGACCGCAAAAGAAAGGTTATGGGCCAGAAAACCTCTAACCTCACATGGCTCTGATTCTAGTTCAAACACTTTTATTGTGATGATTGAAGTACTTCAACTGGCTAGACCTCAGGGACTTGCAGTCTTTGGGGACCCTCGGTTATAGCCTGCCATGACGAAGAGAATCAGTCTCTGTGTTTGTTAATTCAGGTCATGAACTTGGACGGTCCTGACGTGGGTACAGCACTCATTTTACCACTTTTGCTCTGGGACCAGTACCACAAAGAGCACAGGGTGGAAAGCTCAGGGTTACTGCAGGGTTACGGTAAACTGTTAAATCTCTCTGTCTTTACCAGCCATGGCCTCTCTGCATGTTTAGAGAGCCAGCCAGTGCGGACAAATCACATAGCATGTGTTGTCTCTTACAGCATCTCTGTCCTCCCACAGGTGTTCCAGCAGCTGATATGAAAATGTCCCCAAGGAGCCCTAATTGTTAGAAATACCTCACTGGGGCTTCCAGTATTAAATGTGTAAGCTTTGTGCCCATTTCTGTCTACACCACATTTGGGACTTGACAGCTCCTGGCTTCCAGCACGTAAGAGAACACCACACTCACAGAAATGTTTGGTAGTGGGGTTGTGCTGTTGCTGGGGATAAGACAAGCTAACAAGCAGTGGGAGCTGAGTGGCCCTTACTGGGAAATTTATGATTTGAGGGAAAAACAGACCAAGAACAATCCAGAAAGCTTATTTTCTAGGGAATTTATCCCATCATGTTTTATTCAAAGAACAAAAAGCATAGATTTGTTTTTATTGAGAAACTAACTGAAAAGATTCTTAATATATCTCAGCAATTCCTTCCCTACCAGGTGCCATACCTGTAAAGTCATGTATGATACATTTCAAGCATTTTTTTCATAAGCATAGCTTGTTTTTAAATTTCAGATTATATCAAATCAGAAGTGTTCTTTCAGTCTTTTGACATATTCTCAGATTCTGGAATTGCAGTCTTTCAGCTACCTCATGTATACGAAGTGATGGATAAAGCAGACCAGAACTTGATTTTCTTATTCACCACTCACAAGGTACTTCAGGAGTGTGAATCATTCCTAAAGGAGAACAGGCTGAAAACTCCTCATGCTGGTGACAAATAGATTTCTTAAAGTAGAATGAGGAGTGCAAGTACAAGAGAGTTAAACAGAATAATGGACCTTGCCAATACGGTGAAATAAATACCTGCTAGCTCATAACAATCTAATTCTACAGCTATGATACAAACTGTTGATTTACCTTCCATATACCAACAGAAAATGGATATGATTTGGGACTTTCATCATCATAAAAAAAAAAAAAAAGATTATATATAGCTGCTAAATAAATTAGTAATTTTTAAATGCACCCAGTCCTACAAAAATAGCACCCTTCTAAAGAAGCAGTCAAAGAATACCGCTAGGCTGGAAGGTACTTTAGGTATCAAACTACAGGAATCACTGACCTTTTCACACTGTGGTAGGTCAAGACTTACCATGATGAGCGCTTTAAAAGCATTGTAACCAAACTTTTTGACTTTCCTCAGAGATGAACCCTATGATGAGATTTTAGAACACCACTCTTCTGATTGCTGCATGATACTGACCTTCCTTTCTAACTCTTCCTTTCTTTATTTTCCTTCCAGCTGTTTAGTCTTGCCATGTTGCTTTGTGTTGGACAGGCTGGACCTGTGCTCCCAACACAAAATGACAGGATTCAACAGAAGATTTTAAAATGACTCACTTTTTTTTTTTTCAGACTTGCTCTCTACAGAATATTTTCTGTTTGAGGGATATTTCCACTGCATGAAGGAAGGGAGAGAGGGAGAGAGCAAGACAATTCTTGCTGGCAAAGAGCTGAAGAAAAACAAAAATTCCCAATGTTCAAGCATATCAGGGCTTCTCATTTCTCCTCTTATCACATTGTATCAAGTGTATTGCACAAAATCACTACCTTCAAAATTTCTGGAT